GGGTGGTGTACGCATGCTCCTCCCGCCGCAATCTCCCTCCCCGGCTCCTCCCCTCCCGTCCCCGTCCGAGGATATCAACAGGGACTGGCTCATCCCTCCCTGCTCGGGAAGGAGAAAAGGGGCTGAGCAGCCGCGCACCTAGCCCTCGCCCGCAAGCCGTGCAGCAAGCGGCGCCGCTCCTGGGACTTCAGCACCAGGGGGTTGGACAGCTCCCGCCGCAGCTGCGGCACCCGGGGCGGGCGTTGCGGGCTCGGGGCTGAGGACACGCGCACAAAGCCGGCTCGGGCAGCGCTCATCAGCCCAGCCCCGGTGCTGCGAGAAGCCCGGACCAGCCCGATCTCCGATCCCCGCGGCCAGGCTGCCTCCACCCAGCCGCCACAGCCCACTGCCGGCCTGCTGGACAACACCAGGATGGTCCTCAAGCTGGCGGTTGTGATTCAGGTGCTGTCATTGACTGTGGGCCACGTTCACGGCTTCCCTAAGCCCGAGGGGAACAGAGGTAGGTGGCTTCTCAGCCTATTTGCACTGGGATGGGACAACTTTTACGTGGAAACAAGAAGGAAAAGCAAAAACTTCTCTGTCTCTCTCTCTCTCTCAATTCTTTTCTTTCTCCCTTTCGCCATCTCTCTCTCTCTCTCTCTCAATTGGCGCTCAAGTGGTATTTCTCCAGCCCTGGAGGAATGATCTGATCTTTTACTTCGAGCTAGGAGGTGAAAGAAGAGGGAGAGGCTCTTTATTTCACAGTTGCTTCTCTTGTGACGGCCCTGGTATCTGTTCTGCAGCAGTTTTCAAGTCTCTCTTACTGTGGTCCTATTGTGGATGTAACAGATCTTTTAATCTCCTGGTTACAACAATCTGATTATCCTCTGGCTATTTTAGTCAAGCTCTTACACACGTTTTTAAAATGCATGTGTGGGTTTTCAGATCAGAGAGCACAGGGGAAGCCCAGCATGTGGTACCTTTCTGGCACATTTCTTTCCTGGGGGGGAAAAAAGGACAAACTATTTTTGTCCTCCTAATTTAAAGAGTTAGCCTTGTTTTTTCCCCATGCCAGAGGCATTGGATTTGTTTTGTATGGATGTATAACTGACATCACTTTAAATGCAAGTGTTTAGGAAGAAGATGGTGATTTTTTTAATATTCTGCCTCTGTGTATGTGTGTATGCCTCCACAACTGAATGTATATATATCTATTTATTCTAGATAAAGCTATTCACAACAGACAATTAAGTGTAGAGAGACCTTTGGAGGAACAGGTAGGTAAAATGAAAATGATCAAAATATTCACTGAATTTATAAGTTAGTAAATGTTATTTTCTAAGCTTTCACTTGTCACACTGATGAGAATGTTAGTAGCTTAACAACCAGATTAACAAAGAGTATGTAAGGAAAATAAACATTGATGGGCTTTGGGCATGAAATGTCTTAGTTTCAATAATAGCTAAGAAACAGCATGTAGTTTTACCAGCCTACAAAAATAGGTTGTTCTGTTGTCTCCAAAACAACACAAAGAAGCTTTTCCCGCAGAATCTAACTGAAATCAGTGGAAGTTTGGGTTGAAGAAGGGAAGCAAAATCAACCTCCTACAATAAGCAGTGCTACAATAAATTATAACTTTGCCAAGTCTATCTGTGACTCCAGGATAGAATACTACCAAACCAAACAAAAAAGCCCAAGAGCTTGATCCTGCACATCTTAATAAGGCAAATATCCCCTGACTCCTAAATAAAGGGTGCGGTAAAACTTTTCCTAAAATAGTATGAAGAAAATACATTCTATTGTGTGAAGGTGAATAAAGAACATGTGGTAAAATGCACTCATTCTTCCCATTTTGGATTTGTTCTCATACACCAGATTGCTGAAGCTGAGACAGACAAGATCAGAAAAACAGTCTCCACAGGTAAACCATTTTTCCTGCTAATTCTTCAAGTCTACACAGTAGCATACTGAGAGGTCTGAGACTACATGTCATGTGTGTGTTAATAAATTTTCCAGAAAATAAGCCAGAATTCAGAAATTATTCCTTTGCTGATGATTTGAACCTGCTACAGTCAGTAGCAGAAAAAGAGAGAAATGAAAAGGAGAGGGCATCAATTAGAAGCTCCCTATATGAGCAACAACTGGCCCTTGATGATGCAGACTCCACCAAGAACCGCAGGCTCGTGGATGACTATGACTCCACTAAAAGTGGGCTGGATTATAAATTTCAAGGTATTTCAACTTTTCAGTAACATTTAGGTTGGATTTTTCATGCAAGTTATTGCAGTCATGAATCATTCAATCATCTACCTAAAAATGGACCATTCTCATCACTGGACTGTAATTTTAATAACTGGTTTTTAGTTTAGAAACTTATTACCTAACATCTTCTGCAACTTGACACACAAGTATAGAGAAGCTCATGGTCAGTGACACTTTTCACAGTCCACTTCCATGGATCCACTCCAAATACGTAATCTGTATATGTTTAGTATAGCTGTCAGATTCAGGGGCAGGAGGATATCATATCTTGTAAGCTATGTTTTCAAATAAACATAAGTACATTTCAGTAACTGAAAAGAAAGTACACTCTAAGTATTATTTTTATAGAATTAACTAATATACAGGGATTTTTCCATATATTAATTGTCTTACTAGCACATTTGTTATTTATCACATAGCGGAGAAGGAAAAAATATTCAGATCCAAATTATGCTTGCTTTAATCACAGGCAAAATTCATTGACTTCAGTGGGTATAGTGAGTCCCTGGAGTAAGGTGAGCTGGATTTGCCTTAAGGTATTATTTAATTATACCAAAGTATGCTGTTCATGGTCATAATCAAAGTCTGCTTACCTTATTTACTTTCAAATTGATATAACCTGAGTGGACAAGGATTGCAAGATTAAATATTTAATTTGCTGAAATCCAAAGAGGAAAAAAAACAATATTTTCCATGTTCTCACCTGTCTTGTTCTAAGTCATATGGTTAATATAAGCATCAATAAGATACATGTAAGCAGATAGAGGAGCAATGTAGTAGTATGACATTTAAATAGTCTTTTATAAATAGCAAGTGATTGTGCTTTGTCATTTTATTTGTGCTTACAAGGAGAGACTTTTTGCAGAACAACCAGTTGTGTATTTAGCATATTGCACTGTTATTGGTATGATGTTTTACAAACATACAATACCAATGCACAACAGATAAATGTACCCAAATATCTGGGGAAAAAAGAGTGGTTGAGCTGAAAGAAGATACGTACAGGTATTTCTTAAAAGATATCTAAATCCAATGAAATAGAGATGGTCCTTATACAGTTAAACTGTAATTCTTTTAGATGATCCAGATGGTCTCCATCAACTAGATGGCACTCCCTTAACTGCTGAAGATATTGTCCAGAAGATTGCCACAAGAATTTATGAAGAAAATGATAGAGGAGTATTTGATAAAATTGTCTCAAAGCTGCTAAATTTGGGTCTAGTAAGTTTCCTATTATCATTTAATGTAACTGTTCTATTGTTTTGTGTGCCCCCCCCCCCCGCCCTTATTTACTGTTTTAATCACTGGGATAAATTCAATATGCCTAAAACTGACAAGCTAATGATACTGACTTGAACCAGAAAGAGTGAGTCAGGCTCTAGGCAACTTTCTCAGCTCATTTGTGCCATTGCACATCCATCTTGCCCTGCAATAACCTTGCTATTTGCATCCTGGGTTTTGCAACCAGAGATGGCAAGTAATAGTATGTTCTGATGTGGACAAGAGTCCACTGAGGATGAGAATGAAAGTGTCACACTCTCTTTTTTATTTCCCTTTTTGTTTTCAATTACTTCCTTTGTCTTATCAAGTATCTCGTCACTGTCATGGCAAGACTCTGGGCCACAACCCTCTAATGTGTGAGTCAACGTAGAGCCTTTGATTTCACTGGAAGCACAATGGCATACACCAGCAGAACCTAGCCTAATAAGTGTTTCTTATTGTTACCCATCAAAAAACTCAGTTTGATTCCAAATCTCCAGATATCACAGACTAGTGTATCTACTGCAATACCTACTCTTTTTTTCCTTTTTTGGTTTTTTTTTTTCTTAAATATGATCTTGCATGATGAACTCTTATGCATTTCAAAGGGAGATCTGTGTAAAGCACCAACAAAATTGATTCTGCATTCAAGTAACAGAATTAACATAAGAATGAAAATGTATTGTAGTGAAGTTGTAAAAGTTTAACTGTATTTTCAGTTTATATATGACTATATTCCACCATATATAACCTATATAGGCCACAACCAGGGCCCATGGTTTTAGCTATCTAGTCCTTTCTTCCACAGAAAAAGAAATCAAATCTAATTTGGCTGTATTCAACCTTGAAGCAATTAAACAGGTTAGATAGCTGACTAACTAACTAATGGAAGACTGGTTTAAAAAATTCAGTATGTTTACAATTCAGAGTACATAAAAAATAATGTATGTCAACAGATTACAGAGAGCCAGGCCTATACTCTGGAAGATGAAGTGGCTGAAGTTCTACAACAGTTAATTGCTAACGAAGCAAATGATGGTGAGAAGGAGTCAGAAGCTCTTGATTACCCTCCAAGCAGAACAGACAGTGATACAGAAGAAAAACAGGAGGAAAACATGGTAATTGTTCTTAGCTAATCATTTTGACTCACTAAATAGTATGAGTAGACCAATGCACTGTTCTGTGCTTTAGGGAATAATTAGTTCAGTCTGGAAACTGTAAGAATGTTTTTAAAGAAATGCCATCAAATAGAAACATGAGCAATATAGTACATAAAAGTTTATGCCAAGATCACATATTGAAATAATGCTGTGAGAGCCACTGATCTCCTTCCAATTAGAGAAATATTGGCTCAAGCCAGTACACAGCATAAGGTTATGATAATGTTTGCTGCTCTTCTAATCATGTCACCTGAAACAGAGGTATCAAACTCACCTTCTGCCCTGGGCTGGGTATGTGCTGTGGGGCTTCTTGGAGGCCAGATCCATCTCAGGGCATGGAGTGGTGGTGGTGGCAGCAGCTTCAGTCCCAACCCAATACATGAGATAGCAGTGGCATCAGCTCCAGCTCCCACCACTTTTGGCACTGACATATGTTTCATGCCAGGGCAGCAGCAACGGCTCTGGCATAGAGTATATGGCAGCAACAGCTGTGGCTCTGGGTCAAGCACAGGTCCTGGGGTAGTGGCAGCAGTGGAGCCAATGGTCAAGGACCTAGGTCCCCAACAGTGGCAATGGGCAAAGCAGCTGGAGGCTGACCAGGGCTTTGTCAGCCCTTACTCCCCACCCTCCCCACTTTTCCACACCCACAAACTTCTGTTTGCCTGGTGAGCCAGATACATTGGCTACATGGGCTAGAGCCAGCCCTTGGGCCATATGTTTGACCCCTGATGTAAAGCAATGTTTTTCTAATCTCTTTCTATGAAGACCCCCAGCAACGCTGATCAAGATGGTTTTATTAATGGAGAATCTGATGATACTTTGGATAACACATGGCCTTCCTCTAATGCCTTGGAAAGAAGAAATGAACTCCCTTCAGACAATAATTTTGAAGACCTCCAATATTTCCCAAACTTTTACGCACTGCTGAAAAGTCTTAATTCAGGTGAGCTCTCTGTTTTCTCAGTAATGTGTTTTAGAGCATTATTTAGCAAGGAAAGCAGAATCTAGTTGTGTGTTGAGGTTTTTCCATTTTTCTTTCTCAGCCTGAAATCTCTTCCACCAACTTCAAGGCCCCATGTCTCAGGGACTTGTCCCTTAAGATAAGAAAGACTGGATGGAACTCCTTTCAGATCCCATCCAGATCACCCCTAGTTCAGCTACAGAGACTGCTGCAGAATGATGTCACAAACTCCACTCCCCAGGGACAAAGTGTATTACCTCCACAGGGGTACCTTAACAGTTTGGGGCTATGAACCCAGGAGTCTTGAAATCTCTTTCTCTTTATCATTTCTCTCTAAGACATAGAAAGAAAAATATGGCAAATTGTTTTCCCCAGAGATGTTGCCAGTAAGAGCCTTTTCTCCTGAGTTAAGGGAAATGTGAAAGTGAATCAGGCCATATTGTCATCATCTGCACAGTGATGGTGCCAGTAAATTTATACTTAGCAGTCCTATCCTTTTCTCAAACCACAGACTCCGTTCTATATTGTGATGAAGGCCCTGAATCACATCTTCCTTCTCTGGTGTTATGCATTATTCTGTCCCAGTGCATTATCAGCTAGATTGTGGCACCTAGCCACAGCTGCTCTGTCAGTGCACACTGTCTCTCACCCACTCTCACACTCCTCAGCCAGCAACCATTCTTTCACTGTCCCCAACAAAACCAGCAACTCGGCAGATTCTTCCTTCTGAAGAAACCTGGATCCTTCCACCACCCATCCCCACAGGCAATGAGTAGGGACAGGAGCAGGAGGCAGGGCCAGAGGTTATTTTTTTTTTTTTTCCCCTTGTCCTTTCCAGAAGGCTTGCACTCTCCTATTTTGTCCTCCCCTTCCTCTTAGAAGCTTGGGCTGAGGGTTCTTCCTTCTCCCCTCTCTTTATTGACAAAGCAGAGAGTTCAACGGGTAAGCAAGCAAGTAGAACTGTGAATCAGTCTTTAGACATGTCTTAGTCTTGTCTCCTATTTCAGGCTCCTTCCCTGCCAGCTGAGGACGAGAAGATTCAAGTCACCCCTACCAATATGTGTGTAGAGTTTCTGAGAGGCAGCTCCTCAGTTGTGTTGGGCCTTGAGCTAAGGCCAGAATAGTGTTGTCACCTATCCTTGCCTACCAGTGGCCCATACAATATAGTATGCCAATAATTTCTCATGTAACTCAGTGGTGGCAGATGAATTCTGTGCTCATGATGCAGAAAGACTGACAAGTTTATTGCAAAAACATGAGTGAGTGAAGCAAAGAACAATGAGGAGAAGGTGGTGAGGAAAGTCAGGGCAGGAGAAAAGGATTTGTCATGCCATACTAAATTTAACTCAAGGCCAAGGTACTTTTTATCATGAAAATTCCTGTTTTTATCTTATTGCAAGCATGATCTGAGAGAATGAGGATCCATTCCAGTACTGAAAGTGTAGACACCTCTCCAGTAGCTGAATCATATTTCTGTGGAAATCAATAAACTTCATGACAAATTTTAAATGTCTCTGTAAGAACCCATGGAGCTTATATGAGTTCCCATATACAAAGTGGCATTGCCATGTTGAATCTCTTTCTATAAAGTCTGCTTTTGAAAGCATATTCTTTTTCTTTATTATTCTGCCATGGCCAGTCCTGAAACAGTCAGTGCTCTGTCCCTCTACTTTTTCAAGTATTGACAAAAAAATTAGATACCTGGAGGCCAGGCCTGTTTTCAGGGGTCAAGTAACAATTCCAGTGTATTAAATGCATTAATATCATGGCCACAACTTGTTGATTTTTAGCTTTCAGAACAGCTGTTATTCTAAATATTTTAGTTAAGGTGTAATGAATGTCCTCCAAAATCTTTTTCTATTATGAGGTGTTCTGACTGCCAGATCTCCTATCCAGTTGTAGATAAAAGATGCTCACTGCAATTGCTACAGGATTGCTTTTAAGACCACTTACAGATAAGAGTCTTCTGGACAGTTCAGATATAAGTATAATAAATCCTGCATGCAGCTTCAGCTGATTGTTCCTAGGCCACAGTCCTGCAGCCAGGGCCCACCAGCAGTGCACATTGCAGATGTTCAAAAGCTTCCACTGCTACTCTCCATCTTGACGAAAGATTCCCTTTATTCCCTCCTCACCCTCCACTTGGAGTAGGATTTGCCGTTAAAAAGGAAATCATCTGATAGAGAACTCTACATCAAAGTCTGGCATTGCTCCCATTAGGATAATCCTGTTAGCTCTAGTAATCCCACTCTCAAACCTTTCTTCTTCCAGCCACTATTTCTTCTGTCATGATTAGGTTAACCTTTGGTTGCAGAGTCAGTAATGAAAGTCCACACATCCCTACCCAATCCTCAGACAGCTTTAGTATACAGCAGGGGTGCTCAATCCCTGGCCCATGGAGCCATGTCATCTGGCCTAAAGGGTTCCCCATGGGTTGGGAAATTTGGTGGTGAAGGAGCAGTGGCAGTTAATGCAGCCATTCCTCCTCTGCTGCCAAATTACCAAGGACTGCATGGCCATATTAGCCTTGGGCCACTGCCACATGGCTGGATTGAGCCTTGGCCAGACCTGCCCTGCACAGCTGGATCAAGGCCAAGTCATTGCTGCGCAGCTGGATTGGGTCCCAGATGCACTCACCCCTTGTAGCCAGGTCAGGGCCATGCTGTTGCCATGTGGCTGGCTCAGGCCCCTGCTGTGTTGACCCTGCATGCCAGATCAGATCAACGAGCTGGATCCAGTCCACAGATAGACCTGGCACTACCCATCTGACCTGCAGGGTGAAAAGGTTGGGGTACTACTTCTGTGAATGTGCTTGTTTGTGAACATGCAAGAATGACCATTGGAATAAGAAGCCTGTTGCTCATGTTGCTTTTTTTTATTTTCATAGTGTCATAGTTGTTAGGGGCTGGAAGGGACCTTACAGAGCATCAGGTCCAGCCCCCTTGCATATGGGCAGGAAAGACTGCTGGGATCAAATGATCCCAGCAATATGGGCATCAAAACATTTTTTTTGAAGATGGCCAGGGTGGATGACTGTACCAGTTCTCGGGGGAGCTTGTTCTAAATCCTCGACACTCTGCTTGTAAAGAAGTTTTTCCTTATGTCTAGCCTGAAGCGATCTTCAATCAGCTTGTGCCCAATATTTCTTGTCTTCCCCTAGGGGGGCCTTGGTGAATAGATGCTCCCCCTGATGTACGCCTCAGATATACTTATAGGCTGCAACCAAGTCCCCCCCTAGTCTTCTCTTCTCCAGGCTAAACAATCCCAAGTCCCTCAGCCTCTCCTGATACATCTTGGTCTCCAGGCCTCTAATCATGCATGTGGCCCTCCTTGGACTCTCCCGAGCTTCTCCACATCCTTCCTGAAATGTGGTGCCCTTAATGGATGCAGAACTCCAGCTGCGGTCTGACCAGGGCTGAATAGAGAGGAAGAATGATATCCTTAGCCTTGCTCAAGATGCCTCAGTAGATGCATGCCAATGTTTGATTAGCTCTGCCAGCTATGGCATTGCATTGGTGGTTCATGTTCATTTTGGTGTCTGTCATGATACCCAGATCTCATTCAGATGTGGTGCTGGCAAACATAGCACTGCCGAGCCTGTAAGCGTGTTGTGGATAATTTCTCCCCAGATGGAGCACTTTGCATTTCTCTGTACTAATGACATCTGGTTGAGGTCTGCCCACCTTGTGAGCCTGTCCAGGTCAGCCTGTATTGCCAGCCTGTCTTTGAGCATGACCACACTCCCCCATAGTTGGTTGTTGTCAGTGAACTTTGCTAGTTCACTTTTAATACATGGATCCAAATCGTTAATGAACATTTTGAAAAGCATTGGTCTGAGTACTAAACCTTGAGGGACACCACTGGTCACCCTCCGCCCTGGTGACTCAGTTCCATCAATCAATACTCTCAGGGTCCTACCACAGAACCAGTTGCCTAGCCACCAAACCATAAAGTAGTCAAGGCCACATTTTCGCAATTTTTTCATGAGGGCTTTGTGGGAGACCAGGTCAAAGGCCTTTTTGAAGTCCAGGTATATGACACTAACCTCATTTCCCCCATCCAGGTGGCAAGTAACCTGCTCATAGAAGGAAATCTGGGGTTGATCTGGTATGACCTGCCCTTAACAAAGCCATGTTGGCTATTCTTCAGAATACTGCCTTCTGCTAGCCTGTCTGTAATAGATTCTTTGATTATTTTCTCCAGGATTTTACCAGGGATTGAGGTCAAACTGATTGGCCTGTAATTTCCCAGATCCTCCTTTCACTCCCCCACAGCTTGTTGTCGTCAGCGAACTTTGCTAGTTTGCTTTTAATACCTGGATCCAAATCGTTGATGAACATATGGAAAAGCACTGGTCTGAGTACTGACCCTTGGGGGATGCCACTGGTCACCCTTTGCCATGATGACTCAGTTCCATCAATCAGTAGGGTCCTACCATGGAGCCAGTTACCTAGCCACCGGACCGTGAAGTAGTCGAGGCCACGTTTTCCCAATTTGACCATGAGGACATCATGGGAGACCAGGTCAAAGGCCTTTTTTCATCCTCTCTGGAATATAATTGAGGTTAAAAAGTTAAATATGGTGGATATGAGATCAGTAAGCAAACTGAAATATATGCATTATTGACACTGAAGGTCTTAAATGTAAGACGTTATGGTAAAAAATGCTCAGTCCTTGGTTACCAGAATCCTCCTTTTTTTTAAAAGGTGTTACAGTAGCGTAGTGATGAGGCGGGTGGGGGAGAGCTGGCTGGGGGGGGCACCAGCCAGGCTCTCCAGGGGTATTCAGTCCCCCGCAGCACTTCCAGTTTCACCACCAGCACTTCTGGTTTTGCCAACGAAGTTCGCTACACCACTGTGGTATTATTAAGTTGAGATGCTCTAGTTCTGCCCATAAAGTATTTCCTTCCCCATTAAAATTGAGTATTTTGAATGATGCAAGTTGTTGAAGATCTGTATGTCCATACTAGATCGGTGACATCTCCCTCTAAACTGCCTGGCTGGTATGTACAGTTCTAGTCAGTTGTTCACTACCAAATCTCAATGCAAGTCATACAGGTAACAGACTGCTGAGTGACTGTTTGAGTGGTGAGAGTGATATGGATTGAGCTACAGGTAGTTAGTGGGATTAAATTATAGAGTCTTGTTTTAATGACAGGTTTTCATTTCAGTTAAAGTATCTAGATGCTATTGCATGTAATGTCATAAATTCTGTGCAACACCTCCTAGATTTTGGACTTCCTTTTGATCTGTTTGGTTTAAAGAATAATAAAAAAAAAAATTGTAAGGTAGATGTAAAGACCAGTGACTCAAGTTCTTAGTAATATCCAGGCAATTGATTTTACTCTCTGCTTGACAAAAACATATAGTAGATATATCAATAAATGATAATATATGTATATCTAAACTGCTATCAATTGTCAGAACTACTCACTGATGTTGAAATTCATCCATGCATAGGTGACTATTCCTATTTCAAGGGCCTAAGTGTTGCATAGTTCTTGTGTTAGACTGTTCCCTCAGGGTACAAATATGATTATCCCTGAAGATCCATCTTGAAGGAGTGGATCAATGCCAGTAAATGTAACTAAATTAATAGACTATGAAGTGTTAAAATCATTTAACTCACTCTTTTCCAGGCTGACTGTTTAGGGTCCTACCATGCAAGGTCAAGGAGGCCAGAGAATTGATGCCCAGCCAGGTATCTGAGCTATCTTGCCAGTGCAGGCAGGGATG